AAGCAAAGCACTGCCGGCAACACCTCCCTTTCCTTTCCCTCCTCTCAGCCGCTGCAATAAGCTCTCATCTCACTCTAGTTTCTGAAGAGTATTTTTTTCCTTGAACAAGTGCCAGTGGAGAAGCTGTAGGTTTATTGGAGGTTTGTCTTGGAAGCCCCACCAGTACTGAAACAGAATATTTGAGTGACAGTGGGAATTCATTTTATATTTTTTTAAATTTATTTTCAGAAGGTCTCTTACTTTCATTCTGAATCCAAGGTTTCCTGTCTATACTAGTAAAAATCTAACTCCGGGGATAAAATCACCACAATATACAAGTGAGATGTCACTCATTTTTACCATTTTATATTGGCTCAATTTCTGATCTAAACATGTTACCCAAGAGTGCTGTAATTCTGAGCTTTGTGAGCAGTTGTCTTTGGACAGGTGAAACCCATCTCATCTGAGCAGACTGACAGAGGTTCTCCTGTTCTTCTGCAACAGTGCATGTGGAAACTGATGCTTAAAAGCTAGAGTAATCCACCTAAGCTTGACTAAATCCAATTACCCGGTATTTCAGGAAATAAAGTAAAAATATAGAGCAATTAAGAGAATCCTACAGTCCGGATGTCAGGCAACTTTTCACCTCTTGGTAGTTTTTTTCCTGTGTTGTTCCTAGACAGGTATTGTTTTAATTTTTGCTTTTCTGGGTTTAGGTTGCTTAGCTACAACTCACTCTAAAGCAATTCACAAATTGGACATTCCATCACTGGACTGGCCTATTGCTCCATTTCCAAGGCTAAAGTATCCTCTGGAAGACTTTGTGAAAGAGAATCAACAGGAAGAAGCCCGTTGTTTAGAGGAGGTAAAAAATTCACTGGCAGTTTCCTGTTGTTTTTGTTTTGAAATAATGAATAGTGTTAGTAGGATTGGCTGCTTTGCACTAAAGGAATGTTTTCGGGGATTGGAATGGCGTGTGATTAAAACAGCATTCACTGTTGTTTACGGTCAGAAGTTTGTCCCTGCCTTTCAGAAGAACAGCAAGCTTACTGTGAATTAGAGGTCTACATGGATCATACCAAAGTGAAATTTCACATGCAGAAGTTCATCATATCACAGTGAATTTGTCTGCCAAATCTTGCAAGGGACATGAACAAAGACAGAGCACAGTGTGTATACTCCTCTGCAAACCTCTAACAGTATTTCAGTTTTTTCAGCTTTTCTGTGGTAGCCTTCTGGCATAAACCTCTGATCCTAGCTATGGCTGCAGGGAGTGGGCAGGGGCTCTGTGCCTTCCCTAGCCTGGGGGAAAGCAAAGGTGGGCAGAACAGAGTCTAAGGGAGGCAAACCATCTCCAGGTACCAGAACCATGGGATTCCCTGTTGGGCTCACTGGGATCCAGGGTCTGTCACTTGCAAGGGCTCACTCTTGAGAGCCGGTGGTGGGGAGCAAGGCATAGTGTGCCCTGTGACTGGAACCAAAATAGCGCACAATCTGGAGCATCATAACTGACTACAGAGGAGGGGGCTGTGGTGTGCTGAAGGGAGCACAGCAGCGCTCTGGATGGCTGTGCAGAGCTGGATTGAAGAGATGACTTATTCAAACCTGCCCAACTTCAGAGAAAATGGAAAGCACAGCAAATTGCTTCCCTGTGTTTGCCCCACAATAGCTTGAGGGGGGGAATTGTGATGCAAAAAATCAATCCACAGACTTGAAGCCGTTATTTTAAAAAACAAAATAAAAAGCCGCTTTCTTGGAAAGTCTGCAAATTGGCTTACTGGCACCCTTTGGAAAGCATTGCTTTATACAGCCTACGGAGGTTGTGGGCCCTGAAAGCCTTAAGTGGTATTTCAAGCACAAATGACACTACTAATCGCAGCAACTAGCACTACAAGGTTAATTAAAACTTCTCTGTAAGCCCCTTATCAGCAACAGGATTTCTGCACTATTTCATCTGATTAATTTTAAAGTATCTGAAGTGGGTGACTAGAAAAAGCAAATTTACCAGATTACCTTCTTTAATACATTAGCTGAGTTCTGTTTTCTGACACAAAATCTGGTTTCTTCTATATTGCTTAGGTGGAATGACAGCAATGGCATAGCAAGCTACAGTGGTTTCCACCATACTTTCAGCTGAAATTTGCTAGAGCTTTCACACCATTGTTGATAAATGTGCAACTAGTTACAATGTGTTTAGGATATCATTTAAACTTAAGCATTATTCAGGAACAAGAAGACAGTGTTAAATCCTGGAGGAACTACTTGTTAATTCCTTACCCTTCCTGACACCTTTATAGCCAGGAATTTCTAGGCAAAGTTGAAGTTCTGTTGCTGAGATTTAATCTTTCTGGGAGGAAGTGTGCAAATGTCCCAAAAGGAGAGTGTACCATAAATGTTTGATTTATAGGTGGAAGACCTGATTGTAAAGTACAGGAAAAAGAAGAAGATTGTGGCTGGAATCATTGTAGAACCAATACAGTCAGAGGGTGGGGACAATCATGCTTCCGATGACTTCTTCAGAAAGCTACGTGATATTGCCAGAAAGGTAATCAAGTATTTCACCTTTCACTCAGTGGTAGCTAAGCATGCAAATACTTGTTGGTGTCTCCACAGGCCTTCCCCCCTGCCCCAGTCACTTTAAGAGCTTCACAGGCCTCCTGAGTAGCAGTTGGGGTAGTTATGTACATGTATTCAGATACAAGCAACCCCTTGTCAGCACGGTATTTTCTCTTCCATTTGATGCACACCTAGTGGTTTCCTCAGTCCAATAAATTTTCTTCTAATGTCTAAGTGAGAGAGAAATTACTCTGATTCATTAACTATGGATTTCACAGTAGTGTTCTTTAAATGATAATGCCCATTTATTGAGGGGGTTCACACAATTTCAGAAGAGGCAAGTTTGGAAAAGGGTAATTTGTTGTTGACATCCTTGTTTTTAATTGCAAAAAAAAGCTGAAACACAAATTGAGTCCAACCGTAAGTGCTGATGTGCCAGTAAGACAACGAAAAGGACATATGTCTTGATACTTGGAAAGTGAAGTTACCTGTTTGGAAGTGATGACCCTCAATAAGACCCACTCCATGCTTTTTTCACCCTCAAAACATTTGTGTGCTTACAGAGAAGAGCACAGGTGACATTTGGAAAACTCTGTTCTGCCATGAGAAAAAGCAGCTTTTCCCATTGTTAACAGCTGCTCATGCAAGGGTGATATAATAAATACGGTGAAATGAAAAGGTTTGCCTTGTCTAAAATGAGATGCCACCAAAAGCCCTTACCAATTGTTTTTAATTACAATATCATGATATAGCTTGATCTCCCTGTCCCAAAGTTTCAACAAAATAGTCCTTTGCGTAAAAAAAAAAAAAAAAAAAAAAATGTTGCCATCTGAAAAGACAGCTCTTCCAGCCCCTAGCCTGACCAGATCATGCTGCTGGTATTGCATTTGTGCCACAAATGCCCGACTCGGATTGGAAGCAGACACTTCTTATTTAAAACAAAAAAAACTCCTAGAAATTATGTTCTACTTCCTCAGAGGCTTTGAAAATGCCACCCAGACTCCTCCCGGATGTTTTCAGGTAGCCTCTAGAAATGTTTAAGACTATGTAAAAAAATGTACTTTGTTTGTGAAATTTAGGTAGAAAATATGTTTCCAGTGCCTTTCTGAAAAAATAGCTGAATTTTTAATTGTGAAATCTAATGCACAGTGAGTGTCATTGGTATGGGGGGGATGTTGCATGTAGTTGGCTTGTATTTATCTGTTCACTAAGGGAGGTGTTTTTGTTTTGGAAATGCAGACTCACATTCCCTGCTCTTTATATCTATCTCCGCAGCATGGCTGTGCGTTCTTGGTGGATGAGGTGCAGACAGGAGGTGGCTGCACAGGAAAATTCTGGGCACATGAACATTGGGGCCTGGATGACCCAGCTGATGTGGTAACATTCAGTAAGAAGATGATGACAGGAGGATTTTTCCACAAAGAGGAGTTCAGGCCAAATGCTGTAAGATGTTCACTGAAACTTGGAAATCTGTGATAGTTGGCGGCCCATTCGTGAATAACTGCAATGTCCATGGAAAACACAAGCTTCCCTTCGATAACGCAGGTTCAGCTAGGTGGAGCTGCTATTTCATAGACACTTGCTTTATGCTTACACAAGGTTATCACTTCTTCACTTTTATTCCAGTTGCTGTCAGTCACAAAGGTCATAAAGGTGGTGGGAGGGAGTGGAGGACTGGGTTTAGCCTAATGAACTGACCTTCAGTACACTGACACCTTTTTCCGTAGGGCAACTTGATGTCTTCAGAGCTTGTATTGTCAGCATTATGGATTCTGTCAGCAAGATCTCTTCTTTGCATTAATGACACTTTAGATGTAATAAATGAGGGAGAAAAAAAAAAAGAAAAAGAAAATGAAGGGGGAGAACATAAAACTTGATTGTGAAACTTGTATAGATGATGCTGATTTCTGTGTGATCTATAGCCATGGTTCAATGAGATGTCAGAGCAGCAAGACAAGAATGCACTAAATTAGTAGCATAAAGTAGTTGCCCTTTGTTTCTGCTCAGTAGGGCAGCTATATTTTGCTCTTACAACAGGGTTGGTGAGATTAGTGCATGCTTTTTTATATACCAGATGTTTGCATTACCAGTTTGATGGCTTGCTTTTCTTTATTATAGTGATTTGCCTGTTAACATGTTCTACAACTCTCTCTCCACCCTTTCCCAAGCCCTATCGGATTTTTAATACCTGGCTTGGAGATCCATCCAAGAACCTTATGCTTGCTGAAGTTATTAAGGTTATTAAAAGAGAAGACCTTCTAAACAATGCAACCCATGCTGGGAAAGCACTGCTGACTGGGCTGCTGGATCTACAGGTAAACATCTGGAAGGTCTATAGATAAAGAGGAGAAATTTGCTGATCAGGTAGGATCTGACCTAATCCAGTTTACAAACTTGGACTGAGGAACGCCAGCTGGGGACTAGACCATGATCATAACTTGCTGGTTTAGGTCAAGGCAAGCCTGAATAACTGTGTCCCATTTCGAATTCAAGTAAACTTTCTTTTACTGACTTAAGAATGCTGATTTTTATATAGCTTAATCCAAACTAAAGGGTGACCCCCAAAATATCTGAAGGTATGAACTGCAGCTAGTTAAATTATTTTGCTAGAAGTCTCTTATCGCAAGCAGCTAGCATTTCATTGTCCCAGAAGTTCTTTTTAAAGGAAAGTGCCTTCACATTTTGTTACAATTCTGAAAGGCTGTTGAAACAAGAAAATTGTAGCTTTCCTTCCCTTGAGTAAGAGAAATTCATTCGCAGCTTCAGCTATGGAGCCCCACATGAGAAGGAAAATCAGCCAGGCATTTAAGGGCAGGCTTGCAGATGCACTTGGTGCACTGGTAGTGCAGGATATGGCTATTCAGACCATTGTCAGAAAGGCGTGAACAGGACACAAGGTTATGTGAGAAATCCAGGCTGTGCAATAGCTCCACTCCACCAGGACGGAGGAGGGAGGGAGGGAGGCAGCAGGGTTTCCGCGTGGCAGAATGCCTGGCACAGCAGAGCTTGCCACCAGCTGCCCTCTGTTGCAGCAGCTGCCACCCATACTTCCTCACCTCTCTTGCAGGCCCGTTACCCCCATCTTATCAGCAGAGTGAGAGGAAGAGGAACATTCTGTTCGTTTGACACTCCAAACGATGCAACTAGAAACAAGTTAATTACAATAGCCAGAAACAAAGGTAAGAAAGTTTGTGTGTGGATTAGCTTCAAATGACAAACAGTAGCATATGTAATGCTTTAAATTTTCCTTTTTCGTATGGTGTGTGTGTACTACAATATCAGAGGACACAGAAGTGAAATTATGAACAAAGCTGTATTTAGACTTTTCTGGAAATACCTGTATTTTCAGAGACATCAGACCAGTCCCTTGCATGGTGTGTACATTTACCTTTCTCTATAGATCTAACGTTACTGGAAGAGATCTATGTAGGGCATGAGTTTTTGTGACATCACTTTCATATTCCTCTGCAGTGACCTTAGGTGCACCTAGGCATGGCTTATACTTCTAGAAACAGATCAGGAAAATTAGGAGAAAGTTAGTGTAACTGTCACTCAGGAAAACACGGGGAGAAAAACTGTGAGTTTTATGAAATACCTAATAATGAAATATAATGAGTTGCCTAAAATGGACACAGAGCTACAACTACATTCCTCTTTTACTACAGAACTCTTACCCAGCTGTAGACAAGCCCAGGTATCGGGAGGGGAACCTTGTGATCTGAAGCCTAACATTCTCTTTGAATTGAACTGTGTGGGGCCCCTGGCTTTGCTGCTACTCTTATCTCTTGAAAGAAGCAGGCATGATGTATCTAAACTATTGTGAAACCAAAATTTTAGAGTGTAAAAGACGTTGGGTTTTGTTCTTGGAAACTAAGCCAGCAGGGAGAGAAGGCAAGCAGTTTGTTTCATGGTAAACCAAGGCTGTGCTTAGAGGCAAGGTAAGCTCAGATCAATCGTACAGATTTTCGTTGCCTGCAAACATTTCTAAGAACTACTTGATTTTGGGGTAAAAAAAATACCATGCATTTAAAGTAGTGCAGGAAGAAGTTTGCTAGCACTGAGATAAATTTTAACTTTTGCAATTAAAAACTAAGTAGTTTAAAAATGAAATTACAAGGAAACCTACTGTGTCTTGTTCTGGCATTGGGGTACCTAACCAGTAGAGTATTGCAGCTTTGAAGTCTCAGATGCTGTTTGAGCTCTGTGCTGGATGGAGTCTTTCCATTGATGTTGGGATCAATCCCAACATTCCAAGTGTTTTACAGAACAGCTACAGGCACACACAGTGTTCTTCTGGGTTGCTGTGAAGGTTGAGGCCCCTTTGCACCACTGACCACATGCTGTGTCATTGTGTGGTTAGCAGTGATTTGGGGAGCTTCTGTTGGCCTTCCGCAGTGAGGTGAACCTCATTCAGAGACCTGCATTTTCTGGATATTTGACAAAGACGGAAATGACTAGAGGACCTATTCTGTTCTTGTTTTAGGTGTTGTGCTGGGAGGCTGTGGCGACAGATCGATTCGTTTTCGTCCAACGCTGATCTTCAAGGATCACCATGCGCACCTCTTTCTGAACATTTTCAGTGACATCTTAGCAAACTTCAAGTAAAAAGCTGTTCCCTCGCACTGAGCAGCCGATTATGAAATTAGTTTGCATTAATTCATGTCTTCTCTACTTACAAGTGTAAAGTCATAAACTAAGGTTTGTGTTCTGTCTGTAAACCTGTCCAAGGCAAGCTGCTCCATGCAAACTTGACCCAGGCAGAGCATTGGTACCGGTCACCAGCAGGTACATGCAGCTGTTCCACACCGTGCATTTGTAGAAGCTGTGGCCCTCCATCTTCTGGCTTGGGTCATATTAATTACAGAGTCCTCTCTACATTCATGGCCCTGGCTATTTGATTGTCTAAATATGACCTGATACAGTCTGTTTTCACCGGTAAGCCCAGCAGATTTACTCTTGCATCCAGAAGCAGCAATAAGTATGGCATAACACTTAAAGCTGCATGCCTGTCATACAGAAAGTGCCATTCTCTAATGGTAGCTGGAATAAAACAGGTGTTTCAAGGAAAGCTCTGCTTTCCACCACTGCCAAGTACAGTATTTTACAGAATAATTTCCAGCTTTATTCCCCTGAATACAGACGCCTGCCACACCAACTGGATCAGGATGCCATCAGCTACTCTATGCCCAGCCTACACATACTGCTTCAGAGGCACTAATGCACTCAGCCATGTGAGCAGCGCTGTAAGTGGAACTGAAGTACTTGTACTTGTTTTCCTTGTCCTGGATTTTAAAACTTTTGACTTCTCTTACAATCAGACTTGTACAGGGAAAACTATACCCTGAAGTATGTAATTTGACAAAGCTTAGAGAATCATGTGAAGTGTGTTATTTCCACCTCTGTCAGCAATCTAGAATGATTTGAGGTTATTTTACCATTTGCCCGTAACACACAATAGCCATTAATTTACCTGTTACAAGTTCTACATGAATACTTGAGGTATTTTGTAAAACTACAGCAGAATTGCTTGACCTGAGCCATTACCTGATGTCAGAGCCACTACAGTGAAGGCCTAGTCCTAACTGCACATTTGTAATGCAAAGTAATTCTATTTTTGTTCTAATAGTTAATTCTAAGTCATTGATACTTCAGAGATCTTCTAGAAAGCTACAGGATCAAAAAGTGTCAACAGCTTGTTAATTTGTTTCTCTTCAGAGAATTATTTTGGATGTCTCTTTGCTGTGTACTTTGCTGTTTGCTTAAGGCTGACTTGAACTAGGTCTGGTGCCTTTTATTTCTTGGCTAGCAAGCATCTGGATTTTGCTTACTAAGTTTAACTTCCTGTTGCACACCAAAAGCCAGGGACCACAGTGGACTTTACAGTTACCCTGTTAGGATCTGACCACAATTTTTAAGTACATAATAAGAGACAGAGCAGTTAAAAGATTTACAGGTTTAATACAGCTACCAAATTGTGAAAGGTTTCTTACCTGCTCTGAGAAGTGTTATATCACGGTTTTCCCATTTTATCTTTGAGTGCTGGTATTGGGAAACTCAAGTACACTCACTTCTGCTAGCTGAAAAATAATGGGATTTCTGTAAACCTCTCTGCAGAAACCAGAATTCTGGTACCAGCTGGTCAGAACCTGAGCAAGTTTTTGAACAGAGGTTGTAGAAATCTGGGGGAAGGACTGGTGAATTGGTGTTCAACAAAACCTCATTGTCATTGCTGTCCTCCTAAGTGTATTGTCAGCAAGAGGAAAGTCAGAGAACTGCATCTGACAGCATTTTGGGAATTAGTTTGTTCAACATATCAGTGCAGTAGTTTTAGTAAATGTCTCTAGCAAGTCTTGTACTTTTACAGAAGCAAAGGTCCAGTAATTTGAAGTCTTACCACATCTTCAATTTTATTATGAATACTCTAGGTGTTTTTATAATTTTTACTGACACTCAGTAACTGTATAATTGTGTACAACATGTTGATGAAATCATGTTAGAGAATACATAGAAAGCACTGCAGCTGAAGCATATGAAGTTAATATTGTTTACAGCATACTGTGGACAGTGCCAAATAAATGTTTAAACAAATACTTAACTACACTTCATGGTGTAACTGTAACTGTACACAGATTCATAAAAAATGACATCTCATGTGTAATCAATATTCTTAAATAAAATATTTATAATTGAACTTCTCCGTGGCTTTTTATTTTATACCTAGTACATACCTAAAATGAATCATTAGTGCATATTAAATGTATTCTTAGGAAGATAAGCCTCCAGCAAGCATGCTGTATGCATACAGTCCACTGTATTTTACTGCCATGGTGCCAAGGAACATTTCTCTTTTCCTTTTGATACTGCTGTACCACACAGTATGAGCCAAAATTTAAAATAATGGAGCTCCCAGTAGGAAAAGTTCAGCACAAATAAATAGTAAATCAGGGTTACTCCGTGCACTTAAATGGTAATTTTACTTACCTGCATCTGCCGATCCACCAAGAGAGAGAGGTTTCAATACGTGTGAGGAAGAAACAGGGAAAAGAACACTCCAAATTTCTCTATTGGTGAGGGTCAGTTTATTTGCCATTTGTTTCAAATGAAGTAACAGCCAGAAGAGCAGTGTAAGGGGTTAACTTCCTTCTGACAATTCAAAAAGTTTTACATGTTACAAGTGCTCAAGTTTGATTCTTTCTCAGGTTTGAATCCTGCTCCTCATTCCTACTGAGGTTTTGGAAAAGGAAGAATCATTCTAATACCACAATATAAGACCACTGTCCTTCACAGACACAGGTGCCAAGGTGATAAACCCTGCAAGTTCAACAGAATACAAAGTACACTATTTGCAGTCTTAATTCAACATAGCTTTCAGGTGTCTTAAAAGGAAAAAGGAATTTTAGGTAAACCCAGACTGGGGGAGTAGGGAGTGGAAAGGGTACTTGGCACCAGAGCTTTTGATGGTAAAATATGCCCAATCAGTAAACACTTCAAGGGATACAGATGACTTGTTTCCCAGGCTATATGGTAATCTTCACAGAAGACTGCTTAATTCACATAGTCTAAGATAATTTTCGTAACATTTACTGAAGTTTTTGCCACTCAAGTGTTACAACATTGATTAAATGTCATTCATACATACAAAACAAACACAAATATATGCAAAGAAGGACAAGTAGTTCCAAATTTTCAGCTGATCATTAGGATCCAAACTGAACAAAGGATCACAGACTGTCGCTGTAATTCACAGCATCATGGTTTAGGTATGTTTTTCCTTTATTCCAATGGGAAAGCAATTTTTATGAGAGGCTCCTGAAATGCTGTCCCAGTCTTTGGCTTACCCTTATGGCTGAACCATCAGTGTGTCTTGCAACATGCACCCTTGTTTTGCCCAGTTATCTTCACATCCTGAAAGACCTTGCCAAGAGTCCCCCCACACCT